CATTTCAAATTTTCAATCACATTTTGAGGGACCCGCAACGGTCCGTTCCGGCTCAATAACATTAAACATCGGGTTAAGATCGTTCACTTTTGATGAATTGCACATTCGAGTGTCATGAAATCTTTTTTCCTCATCTCCCAATTAACTATTTAAATAATTACAAATTGTTTTAAAAAAAATTTTTCAATCACATTTCATGTTATTAAGTTTAATACGGCATTTTCTTGTAGTTTTATAACGTTCTTTTAGTTACGTTCCGATGACTTCCAGCAGCCAACCGCATGTGTTCTCTTCCAGTCTGAGGGTCCCACTCCCAAGTACCTTCCCGCATCTGAACCCCACTTTCATCTCAATCTTTAGGTCCCATCGGCGGCCCCCACAAACTTCCGAAGACTTGACTATAAAATCAACATAAAACCTCCGTCTTCTTCCATCTCACTAGCCCCCAGAAATGGCGGACTACGGCGGAGGAATCTCCCTCTCTCAAGCCCAGACCTCCGACGACGACTCCTCCGAGCACAGCCCTCGCTGCGTCCCCACACTCGCCACTCCCGGAAGTGCTGTAGCCACCGGCTCCTCCAAGTCCAAATTGCCTAGTCAGAAGCTCATCATCTCCACTCTCGATCATCACCAAACCCCACCGTCGACTTCGGAGAATATGAGTAGCGGGCGAAAACCCAGAGGCAGACCGCCGGGTTCCAAGAACAAGCCGAAGCCGCCGATTGTGATCACCCGAGAGAGCGATTCCGCCATGAAGCCGGCGGTCCTTGAGATCTCGGCTGGGTCAGACATCATCGAGACCATCATTAACTTCGCTCGTAGGAACCACGTGGGCGTATGCGTCATCAGTGCTTCTGGAAGCGTCTCCAACGTCACGCTCCGCCATCCAGTATCTCACGCGCCTGCACTGTCTCTCCACGGACCCTTCGGCCTTCTTTCTTTATCCGGCACCTTTATGGGATCTTTTTCTCCTACAAAACCTCCACAATCATCGTCCACGTTGTCTTCGACTTCTTGTTTTGGTGTAACCCTGGCAGGTGCACAAGGGCAGGTGTTTGGAGGCACCGTGGGAGGGAAGATGATGGCAGCAACGGTGGTGGTGGTGGTGGCTGCAACATTCATGAATCCTGCGTATCACAAGCTGCCATGTGAAGGTGATAAGGAGGAGGAAACGAAACCTAGTGGTGGTGGTGGTGCAAGTGATCAGTCCTGTTCTACCACGGGCATGTCTATGTCTGTTTATGCTGTGGCTAACCCTTCTCCTATCAGTTGCCAGATCTCTCCTGATGTTATGCCCTGGGGGTCCTCTCGGCCTTACTGATTATGAGTTACTCTTCAGGTTTGCTCAAAACCAGCTGCTTAACTGCTGAGGCATATATCTCCAGCAGAGAAAATGTGATGAAAAGCTAACATTTACACGCCATAGCAAGCAAGAGCTAAACTAGGCTGGAATTAATTGTCTGTGCTTTCTCATTTAGTACCTTAAGCAGTGCTTTATTTTCATTTTGTTGTATTTATTATGAAAATTTTATTTACCTTTCCAATATTTCAATGTTAAAAAGTGTGGCCGTTTGGTTGTTAACATCCTTAATTAATTTATCCTCCGAAAATTAACAAATTAAAACTACCTATAACTCTTTTTTAGTATATATGTAATGTACTGTAGCTGGCCGGTATCTGATATGTTATATTGTTGTCATTTGCCCATGTGCCTAATTATCATCAATTGTAGAGAACAAGTTTGCATTCATTCTATCTTCAAAAGAAATGGTTTGCATTCATAAAGTTCTGTAGTAGTACTAGTACTTATGTAACATCGATTGACCTAGCTAATGGCTGTGTCAGGCCATGAGGATATATAATGTCAGGGTCTTGGACAATTAAGCACAGCACTGATGATCCCTCGGGAAGGGACCATTTCTTTAGCAACTCCAAAGCGTAGCCCAGCTACATCTGATTCTGATCTGAGTGGAAGAAACAGTAGAGAGAGAGATACACACAACAACCCAAAACCTTACGAACCATATATATATATATATATATATATATTGAAGACAGATAAGACTACTGCTCAATGGTCGACGAGCTTTTTCATTACTGATATCTCTTTTCTTTCTTGTCCATACCCAACTCCTTGTTTCTTCGAGCACTTTCCTCGCTTAGAATGTTCCTTAATGATAATCTTTGTTTAACTCTTTTGCATGCTTTCTTCTTTTAAGAACATACATACAAATAAATATAATTACATATTAATTACTACGTACATATATATATAGCACGCCAAAGTTGTTCAAAACAATAATAATAGTAATAAATGGCCTTTATATACATTCACGGATGAGATGAGATGAGATATGATGAGAGCAAAGCAAAGTGAGTCCAAAATGCAGTCAAAATGTTCAGAACACATACTTGGCATTCAGGGCAGGAAAAGTACTCCGAACCCAACCCTTCTGCTCTCTTATTTATTGCTGTTTCGTCCACTTCCCAACCCATCACATGAACCCTTTCTCTCTTTTTGTTTACAGATTTACTGCTCGCCAGAATGATGGAAATTACTGTGGTAAAAAAGGTTAGTGGGCAAGTGGAAGCACGCGGGGTCAGTCTTCAGAGTCAAAAGGCCTGTGTCTGCACGCGTGTCGCTCAATCATTGGCCTATTTTTTTTTCATTTTTACGTGTTTTATTTTTAAGTCGGGTGGTGGGTCAAACTTGAATATCACTGGTACTAAAGCCAGATTGCTATATCCAGGATTGTCGTTTTGTTGTTAAAAGTGCATGTTAATTTGGTCTTGTTTGTGCATTGAGAACTGGAAATGGGTTACGTTTTGGGTCTTCTTCTTCTCCTTCTTCTTCTTTTTTAAAAAAAACCCAGGCAACACATTCTAATTTCCAAGAGGGAGTGGGGGAGTGGTGTTGGTCTGAGTTTTTACCCCTTTTTTTTTTTGGGGAGGTGGTTTAGAACTTTGAGTTTGGAGATGTTGGGGGCCTGTATATTTTTGCTGACATTCTCAAATGTAAAAGGCTGCCTGCATCTGCATGCCTTAATTAGTCTTTGGTACTCGTCCGTCCCCAGGGAGAAGAATAGAAGAGCTTTATATCCATTGGTTTTTTGATGGTTACGATTTCATGTCCGAAGGGTTTCATTCTGTTTCCTAATCAAAAGTAATTTTCCTTCCCATTTTCTCCTGGGAAAATGCGTTCTTTTAGTAAATATGGAATGCACAAAAACAAGTACAGTCTCGTTTGTCCAAGCGAACGGGCATTACTACGGATATGATTTTTGGGTTGGGTTTGGAGCTTTGGTGTGAATGGGCTATTTCATTACGTAAATGGGTTGGGGGTCTTGAGACCAGAGTCACAGGATCCGTTTCTTTTTTATCAAACCCTCCTCAGTCCCTGCACCGAAAATGACTTAGCCATATTTTTCTAATAACCCACAATAGGAAAATCATTAAAACACCCTTTTGTTAGATATATTTTTGGGCATTTATTTAGTTTAATTATTAAATAAAAAGAACTTGGCCTATGTGTCAAATGGTGTTAGTTACACTTGAAAGTTCATTTTTTTTTCTTTCAAGGGCAACGGTTCTATCAGTCTCATGGTCAAAAATGTTTTAAAAAAAATATTAAAATAAAAAAATGATTTTAAGATAATTTTTTTATATAATTTGATGTGTTATTTAAATAATTAATTTTTAAAATTTATGTGAAATCGTAATATTAAATATATCAACTCATTTAATAACGTATGAAAGTTATATAAAAAAATTGTATAAAAAACTTATCTCTATAACACCTCCCTACCTACCGAATCTAATCCACCACCACAACGATGAAATCTTCAAAAAAAAGTTCAGTGGAGGCTTTAAATTCAACAAAATTTGCTGTATTTTTCAACTTTTTATCATCGGCTTTCTATCCATCATGCATGTTATCCTCGGTTCTTTCAATTCATTTCATAAAAAAGCGACATTTCTTTTTGGATACTTAATAAAACGTCATTTCAATGTGAAATGCAATAGTTTTTCCAATAATACTAACAATCTTATTATCAACTATTCAATTAGAAAAGAAAACAAATAGAATCTAATTAACTACTGCATAATTCCAGAATAAGCCTGTACTTGTACATAGAATATGTCCTATGAACAGAAAACAGTATAACAGAATCAACAAGACCAATTTGAAAGACACAAAAGTCTCCACAAATACTGCTAATTTTATTACATAAATTACAGGATGATGTCTGGTTTCTGAAACTGTCTTAACAATGCTCTGAGATCAAGAACATTAGCACAAAGCAAGAAACTACACTCATCAATAGAAGAGATGTTAAAATCAACTTCTAATGTCATTACTCATAAACAACATGTCCCTACAATACATTATTAGTTAGAACTTCAGAAGAATGCTCGGCTACCATAAAAGACCCGCGATCCATCCTTCTTTTCCTGCTCTACATTCTTGCTATGGTTTTGAATGGTTTCGCCTCCGCCATCTTTGCCTTCCTGTTTGCCAAGATCCATTGGGAGTTTCATCTTCGCTAAGGATTCTGTAAACTGTTGCATGCTCCTCATGTACATGTCCACTATTTGCTGCTGCATTGCAGATTGTTCTGCCCCAAGATTATTATTGATGTTTCTTGGTGGAGCTGGAAAAGCCTGTTTGAATTTGACACAGTGCATGTTCCCTTCCTGCTTTTTGCCTTCTTCCTTCTCCTTCTTCTCCTCTTTGGTGTCACTTCCTTTCTTGGAAGTTGGGGTGTCCGGAGAAGTACCGGTTCCCTCATTAGCCTCGGCGGTGACTGATGTTGTATTCAGAGAATTAGATGACTCTCCGCCAAGGCGGCTTTTCTTCTCTAAAGAATCGGCTGAGTTCCGATCGTCACTAAGGCTTGTGATAGTGGAACTCAACACCCCAGAATTCTGAATGCTTCCATCTGGGGAAATAGAGCCTCCGTTGTTTTCCTGGTCGGATGAATTCACCATTATTCCATCATCATCGACGTGGTGCTGAGACGCGCCTAGATGAAGAAACGAAGCAACTCCGGGCGGACCAGAAGTTGAATTCAATACCCCAAAGAACTCTGAAACCAACTGCTGATTTTCCCGAACAACATTGATATCAGGAAATTCGATCCTGGAATACTCAACTGGATCGAGAAAGTTTTCAGATTTTTTTCTATCAAGCAACACAACTTCCGATGATATGGAAGAATTGCAGGTGGTTTCCGTTGAGGGTTTGATAGGTGTGGAGGTATTCAGGGAAAGAGTCAATTTGACGGTACCGGCAGGGGAATGGATGAGGTCGGTAGAGGAGAGGGTATAATCCTGACTCACGCTTTCTTTTCCGGCTATTTCTGTAATCGGAACCAGAGCGAAACACAGAAGCTGATCCTCCATGTAGTTTCTGACTCTGCTAAGCATCCAAATCTCGCATTTGAGGACCGCATCGGCTTGAGTGACTTTCATCATCAAGTTTTCGTTGAAGTCAGGATTCTTCCCTCCTCGTTTGCAAATTCTTGTTGAGGTTGTCTCATCAGGGTTATACGTGAGGGAGAATTTGGCATAAACATCTTGGTTCTCGTAGATGCATATGTTGTGAATATTCCTAGCGTGATGAACATAGATGTTGAGAATTCCAGAGAATTCAGAACCATTGTCCAAATCCCCCATGGAATTGGAACTCAGATTGTACCCAAAACCAGAAGATCCATTCAAAGAATCCATTAAAATCAATGTTCTGAAAAAGGTTTGCTTTTGAGCTGAGGAATTTCAAGATGATAAGAAGACAGAGCAGAAACAGAGTTCTATGCGGAGAACAAACCCATCAAGAATGATGCAACAGATCCTATAACGTTTTTGAATCATCAAAAAAATTTCCAGAGGAAGAATGCATGAGGTGAAAGAAATCATGGAAACAGAACTATGCACAATGCATGGAAAACAAAGCAGAACAGAACAAAGGAAAGAGTTGATTCAGAAACAGAATGATTAACAATAATGAATTGGTAGCTCCTGTTTCTGGTTCTTATCCCCTTTGGCCTTGCCTGCCTTCAATTTTGTTGAGTAAATCAACATAATCAATCCATGAATTCAAAGACAAGCATGAAAAGAAAAGAAGAAAAAGTGGGTTATCTTAGCGAGTAAGAGAGAGAGTGAGAGAGAGAGAGAGAGAAAGAGACTTACAGTTGCATTAAGAGCATACTTTGTTCAAGTTGAGAAGATGATATTGAAGTTGGTGGGAACCAGAAGGGAAAGGGAGGAAAAATCAAAGAGACGATGATGATGATGATGGAAATGGTGATGTTTCTTTTTTCATTCGCTTTTCAAAAAGATGTGGCTCTTTGTTTTCTTTCTGTGGTTGGTGAGGGATGGAGATTTTTCTTCTATTTCCAGAAGGGGTGGCTTGCTTTGCTTGACATTGCAGCTTCCCCTCCCCTAATGACTGAATTTGCTCCACTGAGAAAAATGAAGGTCCCACTTCGGCCCCAATCTTCATCATCACCTCCCGCCCAAATCTTTAAGGCATTAACAAGGCAAATAGCTCAACAGATCCACGCCAATATGTAAGGGCAGAAGCAACAGCAAAGATTAAAGGCATTTGTTTTGTTGGGTGGTTCTTTTCATTTATCACCCAACCCAAGAACATAAAAAACTTACATATATATTTTTTTGTCATTTGGTCCCCCAACAGTTAATCAGGGTCTTGAAATGCATCTGAGGAAGTTAAATAGATTGAACCGTGTGTGAAGGATACAATGATACAACAAACCGGAATCTGGCCACCACCAATCAATCATTCTCAGCCGGTCCAAACTACCAACTACTACCGTGTCATTATTCTGATTCACAGGATAAATAAAATGCTAATGTACAAAGGATGGGGCCTTCTGGTTATTCAGGCACTTCATATTAAGGGGATCACGTTCTTCCCAACCTCATCAAGTGCGCTTGATGTTTTGCTGCTGCTGCCTTTTCAGCAGCTTCACGCTTAAGTGTCCTCTTTGCTCGGCGCCCAATTGCATTTTTCGCAACAACCTCTTTCTTCTTAGGCTCCCGAGATGAACCAGCACCAGAGTCCTGGAAATTGGCTCGAGAGACTGGCCTAGCTTCTTGACGCCCTGCCCTAACAAACCCATTATCCCCCCACCTTCTATTGCCAATGCGAAGACTTGATGAACTGGCATAGTAAACTTCTTCATCTTCATCATCCTCAACTTCGTACTGATAGTAATCTTCTAGATCATCATATGCTTCTTCATGATCCAACACAGCCAAAGGTTTAAACCATGTGGCTCTAAGAAGCAGGCACACAGTCTCCTCAAACATGTAATCATGAATCCTAATAACCGGAAAAGTGAACATTAAATTAAACAATATATGTAATGTAAGGTTCAATTAGTCACCGATTATGATGTAAAACGTCCAACTAGAATTGCCAATTTAACTTTCTCCCATAGTTCCCAAATAGATAGAAAGTGTTAATCTCATAATGTCTAACACTACAAAAGCTCAATCAGGGCTGGAAATGCTACCTGCCATCAAGGGAGCGATGGACGTTGAGGAACTCAAACGGATATTTACATTGTGGACAGGTAGGCGTCTGATTATATGCAGCCCATCGAAGAATACATGTCACACTACATCAATAAAGATCCAAAGAACATCCATAAGTACAATAATCACACACCATACCCTCTTTCAAAATTATTAATATCTTGACATTCCCTTTCTCATATAATGCTGAAATATTTGGCAGTATTCATCTTTTTCCTACCATGAATATGAGGATATTGATCATAGATACAAGCCGCCATGACGTATCATCCATAACAACTTGCCCTCACAATCTCACATACAATATTTTTTGAAGAATTTTGCAGCTACGAACAAGATCAATCAATTGCTAACACATATAATATCATAGTTAAGAATTCCATCAATCATCATCTAAGTCTCTGACTGAACCCAATTCTTCCTCATTAAGCAATCTTACATACAATATTTTGAATCATTTTGCAGCTACGAACAAGATAAATCAATCACTAACACTTAAAATATCATGGTTGAGAATTCCATTAATCATCATCTGAATCTCTGACCAAACCCCATTATTCCTCATTGATCAATCTTACATATACCAAGCCTTAGAATTCTGGCCAATAAAGAAAAAAAAATTCCGCTAAATTAATGGTAACACAACACACGAGAAAGAATGGTTAGACAAACCAGTAAGCATGCTCGCAACCTTTTACGAGAGCAGTTTCCTGCAGCACAATCTTATCTAAGCAAATTGCACAAATGCCGCTATGGTTTTCAGGACCCTGTTCATCAATCACTGCTTTGTTCTTCATTTCCCTCTGATAATAATACAAGATTTTGGATCAATTTGATTGAAAAAACTCTTTTTTCTTTCTCTAACAAAATATCCATGGTGAAAGATTGAAATCAAAGTCCCTCACGAAACTATAATACAAAGTCAAATAACACGGTTTCTCCAGTTTGGTTACCCCCAGAAACTAGAAAGTTTGACGAATTCAAACACGGAAGATTAGAACCTAGTGTGTCAAACAACAAATTAAACATCAGATTCAAAAATTTTCCATGCTTGTACTCTTCACATTTTCTAAGCAACCAAACAAACAACATAAAAATTTAAGAGAAAACAGAAAAAAAAAAAAAATCTTTTCTTCTGTAAAGCAGCAATACAGATCCAATAGATCTGGCTTCGAAATTGAAGAAGTAGAGAGTACCTGATCTTGAAGCGAGAGATCATGAAGGGGGTTGACTAGCTGCTCATCAT